CTTCCGAATGCAGTTTGCACGGAGCAAGTGCAGCTTTATTTAGTAAAACCTCACTCGCTAGATGTCCCGACAACTCTTCTCTTGAAGCTCTGTGTTCGCCTTCCCCTGCCAGCCCCATCTGGAGTCGCATGCTGCCGCCACGCAGCTATTTTAAAGGCAAATAAACCCAAAGGCCAAAGAGGGAAAGGCTTTGAAGAGCCAGCTAGTCCGGTCGCACCATTTGCTCAGGTGCTAGGGCCAGGGCGAGCCGTTTACTTAGCGTTTAATACCCCTCCTTGCAGCAGAAATAACTCCCCCACAAAGGATTGGCCCAAAACTTACTTCACTTAGTCTTTAAAACAGAGGTTATGAGGGAGTTGAGTTCAGCACGGGCTTTCTGTGCAAACCCCTTCCGAAGAGACAGAGCCAGCCCCAGCTGCGCCGCTCTTAGCCGCTCTCTCCTCCGCGTTCCCGGAGCAGCGGCAGTATTTCCTTCTGAAGCCCAATGTCTGTTTAACGGGGAACTTCGGACCAAGTTGTTCTGAAAGGGCTGCCTCAGAACAACCAGGGGGTCGGATGCATCTTTCAAGCCTCAGGATCTCTCTCAAGAGGCTGCTTTTCCAGCCTCTGAGAAAGCAAATTAAAAATAATTAAAAACTAATACTGTGACTTTCTTTGCCCTAACTCAGGTATAAATTATTTATTTCGAAAAGGTGGCAGGACAAGAAACGCCTGGCCGCAGCTGCGGAGCTGGCGTCACCCGCAGCGCTGCCGCGGCGGCCCGCAGGTGCAATGCCAACGCAGACAGGATTTGGGCCACATGGAAAGGCAACTGTGCCACCTCCTGGGCAGGAATGAATCCGCCTTTGGACAGAGAGGGCACAAGTGAGAACTAGCTGGCGATTCAGCAGAAAGGCTTTTAAAATGCAAAACTAAAAATAAGCTCGGTGATTAGGTAAACAACTGATGATGTCAGGTTGCAAAAATATCTCCTTTTCCATGCTGGTGCATGAGGGTGTGAGGACTAAAGGCAAAGAGAGGAAACAGAGCAGGTTCAGGAGCAGACGGCTTCCAAAGCTCTGTCCCTTCATAGCCACAGGGGCACGGCTGCCTCCAGCACAGCTCTCGTGTTCCCACACCACGAATCAGATCCTGGAATAGCATTAGATTACCTTAAATATGAGGTTTTTAAAGGTAATACATGTTTGAGACACTTTCTACTCTTCTGAGGTGCACTTTCCTTTAAAGAGGGAAAAGGGGAAAAGAGAAAAGAAAGAAATGAATATTCTCACACGCTGCCCGAGCTCAGCAGCGGTGCTGGGAGAAGAAGACTGAATAAGGCCTGATTGCAAAGAAGTCGCTATGTGAATCAGCAGGGGGTTGGTAAAGCCTTGCACGGCCACTCGGGGTGTCACAACACCTGCAAGCAGAAGCTGCAGGCAGGTGTTTTGGGAATGCTGCAACCTCAGCACGAGCCTTTCCTCTGAGTAGCCACCAGACTCCAGGTACCAGCTGTGAAAGTCCTCGTGTCTGAATATCAGGGATGCAGGCAAATAAAGAGTACGGCTAAGCACAGAGCAGATGCAATCACCATCCTGCTGACAGTCCTTTGCTTCTCAGCCTGGTTACTGCTGCTATGCTGGGTCTGTGCTCGGGAGCTTTCCTCGGGAATGCGCCCATCCAGCGTATTTCAGGATACGATGTTCTCTTAGGTCCTGTTCCTTTCCAGCTAGACATCTTCAGCAACAGCAATACTTCCAGCTTTCTAACCTGATTACTTCACCTTTGATCCGACTCAACTTTGGCTACAGCAAACATCAGAACAGATGATGATAAGCTCAGAAAATCAGATAGCATTTGCCTTTTCTAAGCCATGGCATGTTCCAGTTTAGACCAAAAAGAAATCCGATCAGCTAAATCCAACTCTAGCTCAGCTACAAGTCTGGAAAATGGATTACGCAATGCCTGACATCAATAGCTGGATGTGAACGTTGAGCTGAGTTTGGGAGGAGATCAAAGTGTTTGGTACTTATGGATTTAAAAAGAAGGCTAAAGCACTATGATATTTCAGCAAAAGATTACAAGATTGGTAAGAGAGAAAAGATTTTCCACTGGGTTATGCAAGCTCTATTCTAGCACAAGTATTTATCTGTTCTGTAGATCACTACCGCTTCTGGACTGCCTAGAGCACAGAGGAGGTGATGCTTGGCTCCTCACTCCGAGTTCTTCAGCATTTAGTGGGTGGTTCTTGCATCCCAGCAAGGCCAAAACACGAACCATCTAATTGCAGCACTGTCAGTTCATGTTATTGTGCAGCAACTATTTCAAATTCCATTCAGAAAAATACTTTTATCATACACATGATTTTCACCAATGTTACAATATCTGCAATTGCATATCTGCAATGACACTGCCGTTGCTGTCCTGTATTTGTCTTAGCCAGGCTTGTTATTACACCCAACTATCATCACCTCTCTCAAATTCATCATGTCATACTCAGAGATCACCTTGGTCAGCTGCTTATACAGCCCTTCACCTTCATTCCAAGTAGAAAATAAAAAGGTACAAAATAGATAAAGACAAGCTTTAATAAATAACAAATCTTTATTAAATCCAAATGTTACAAAACTTCTAACAACAACTGTACAAGTGCTACCACCCCAGCGGAGGACTGCTTGTGAGGGGATGCCAAACAACCCCTTAGGTGTCTGATATCGCTGGGTGAACAGAACAAGAAAATTTAAAGCATTTAAGTAACTGTAGTATGTAACTATGAGTAAATATGCACTTAAAAGAAAATCAAAAATTGCACGAGAAGCAAAAACAAAGTGTGTTATGTTGGTTGATATCCCAGAATCTGAAGAATTAAGAATACATGTATCCTCTCATGAACATTTGTCCACGAGTTTCAGCAATGTGAATCTTTTCTTCAGGGTCCTCAAGGAAGTTAGAAGTGAGATTCTTTCAGATCTTTGGCTGATAAACTGTTGACTTGAATGAGCTTTGAACAGCTACCTTATAGCAGCATAACCTAGAAGCAAGTCTAATCCACTCTGACAAATCAGCATGCCACAAGCTCATGTGTATTTACAAAGGCTGTTAGAAAGGCTCTTAAAGAATGAAAGTGTATATGCATTTGAACTCTAGCACTGATTGTCTTATTCTGAATACTTCCTCACGTTCCTGAATTCAAACATCAGTTAAACTGACAAGGCTACAAACTGAAGAATGAAGAATAATGAAGAATATCACTGTCATAGTTAAAGGCCAAAGAAAAAAAATCAAAAAGGAAGAGGAACTGCAAATCTCTTCATGTATGGGATTTGACCCATCTCCTTATGGGAAAATGAAAATATTAATAAATAATAAAACAGATCAAAATACATGTTACTCTCCTGGTGAGATTTTTCTTGCAAAAAATCCAAAAAATAAATCCAATAAAGTTGAACCAATGTTTTGATTCAATTCAAATTCTCTTTCCACATATATATGTATATGGATTAGCCATAAGAATAGCAAAGCTCATCCTATAGGCTGTGCAAATTATATCTGTAGTCTGTGGCTGGATCAGTAAGCGCAGTGTAAAACCACTGTATTACTATATTACCTCAACTGAATTTGTGCCACTTGTGTCATTCTGCTGGTCCTGCTGATAAACTAGTGCTAAACCAGTCTGACTATGGCAAAAGTTCCCAAGCAAAATTCTGCTCTTCCTTCACTTCTCATTGCACCCCACTTCTTTCCAGTGCAGTGAAAGTCCTGAAGACTGAGTGAGCTTAGAGTAGCTCCATGGGGCAGAGAAAACTGTCCTAAAACAATGATTCAGTAAGAAACAGGGGCTCAGAAAGAGGCAGAACCACTGTTGTGCGAATCTCATCTAAATTTGCTGCTGGGAAGAGGTACAATTTCTACTGCTGCACAGTGTTTGGAAATACCATTTTCCCAGCCCCACAGAACCTCACAGAAACTGGTGCAAGGAGTAAAGTGTGATCCACAGAAGGGAGATGTAAGTTAATATTGCACCTGTCCAGCCTGAATATTATATTTTCCTCAACTCCGTATACAGTCTTGGCTACCTCTTATAATCTAATTTTATTTCTGAGAGTGATATGTTGGTGTTCATTCATTTTATGTTAAAAGTAATACAGTCTACTAAAATCAATTGTATGCACACACACCATGAATTGTAACTGATTTCCTGAATGTATAGAGTCTGCCAGAGTACCTCTTTTGTTGTTGTTTTTGGTTTGATACGTTCACACCTCTGAAGGCAGTAATGATAGAGACTGCGACACACTAATCTGCACTGAAAATGGTACCATAGTGTCAGGAATTCTCCCTGCCTGATCCCTTCTGTCACTGGAATAAGAAACACTCCCAGGGATCCACTGCAGGAAACCACAAAAAGGTTGTTCCTTAGGGTGTAACCAAAAAACAGAGCTGACAAACAGGGTATTGTGCACACGGAAGGACTTATTCATGGGCCAACAGCAATGTCTCTGGTACCAACAGTCCTTGCTGTACACAGCACGCAGGCTTTAGATTCAGATATGCCTTCTTAAACCTCTGGAAATCTTCGTTTGGATGCTGAGATTGTATTAAAAATGAAAGCCACTACCGCCCTGGAGTAAAAGAGCCACAGCTGTAGTCAGCATCACATTTTCAGTCACATCAGAAGTGGATTCTCTTAATACAATACACTCTTCCTCCTCTGTTCTGAGATCCATCCCCCAGGGTTTACATCCATTTGCAACATCTTCATCACCCACTTGTCTTTCCTGGCTCCATCAATGAACTCATCAAGAGACAACTGCCCTGTATACAGGATGAAGAGGACAAAAGATAGGGACACAAAACACAACAGATTGTAAGACACACATGAAGAGGAAGACACAGGAAATAAGAACAGCATCCTACCTATCAGAAAGAAATGTGTTAATAAGACAAAAGATACACTACACAATTTCCCCGTGTAGTTTAGGCCAGCTAGATAAAAGAGAAACCACCACCCTGTAAACCAAGCCATTACACCTGCCCTGTCCTTTTGGCTAACGTGACATGCTGCATTAGTTTATACTTGCTCCTCCAGGAGGATCACAAGTCTGATCCTGCAAGCTCTGTCTGATTTGAAGAGACCCATTTTTGTCTTTATTCAGGTTATTTGTGCCTGGCCTGGGATCTCCGTTCTGGGCTACTTGAGGCTTTGAGAGTGACATAGGTATGGCATCAAAATCCAGATGGAATAGTGATTCCTGTGCATTTCATATTAAAACAATAATAAAGATTATTTTCTGCTGCTGCACAGAGTTGCTCTAAGATTCTAACTCCTGCACAACGGACCAGAGCCTAACCTGACTTGTCTAATATGAGTGATGTGATTGCCCTAAGTGATTTTTTTGATAAACCTAATTCAATCTAGTCTGGCCAGGACAGATCTTTTCATTATGCATGAATGCAATCTAAGCTATCGATTCCTTACCATCACCATTCTCATCCACCAGCTGAAATATCCTGTCTACAACCTCCTCTGGTGTGAGCAGTGGAGTCCTCTCCTCCACTTCGGACCGACACACTTTCTTCAGCTTGTAGATAGACTGAAAAGAAGTTCACAGATTAGAAGGATGGGCAAATGAACAGCAGTGTACTCTGCTATTTTCTCAGTACTGTAAAGGTCTCTTATGAGGGCTGCAGTTTTAACCCTTTTTCAGAAACATCTGCCACTGAATAGCCCTAGATCATTAACAAAACCTCCTACCTTACCATTATGCATACTAAGGATTACGTTATTTGTATTTTGAAACTGCTGCCCATCTGTTTTACTTATGTGTATTGGTCAAACCTCAGGTTCCTTGGCAAAGAGCAAGGCAATTTTTTCTTCTGTCTTTGAAAATCATCATATTAAGTCAAATGATTTTTCCAGGTTATGCAGAACTGAAGCCAGGCACACCTGGATTTAGCCACCTCTCTCTCCTAGTGAACTTGCACCCAAGCTGCAAGATCACAAACCTGTATTAGCACATATTTTGACCCATAGTTCCCACTCCACTTTGCGTTACTGAAACACAGCAGATTTTGCCTACTCCTCCCTCTGAGTATTTGTTCCTCTCCTCCTCACAAGACAGCCACCTGTTCACTGTTAATTTTGCTCATCAGGCTGAAGGGTTTTGTCTGAATTCTTCCCAGGTATGGGATTAGCAAGGGCAGAACACAGCTCTGGCAGATTCCTCACTGACCTTAAAACTATAATTGAACCTGCCCTGGACTAGCTCCCCCAAACTCTTTATCTCGCCTTTCCTAGTGATGTAGGTAGCTAAAACAGATCACATTTCCCCAGCTGCTGACTTTTCAGCCAAAAGGACTTGTTTTCCATAGAAAGATTCAACTTCTTTGATGAGTTTTCTCGATACTGCAGTTCACATAAGAGCCTAAAATGGCTGATACCACTGATTAAGCCTCAGAAATACAGCTGTGAAAGGGTAACTGCAACAGTATCTGTGTTGCAGGGGCAGAGACTAACACAATCACCAAGAGATTTACCTGAAGTTACACAGCAGTAAAAGCCCAGGCATCTCATATCTCTGTCCCTGATTGCTACACCTCTAGCAAACATATGCCCTCTCTCACACCTTCTCACAGTCACTAATTAAAAGCAATTGCAGAACATAACAAAATCCCAAGGAGGACTAACTACAAAAAGGATTTCTGTACTAATTCATGCTTATTTGCACTCCCACTTACACTCAAAACAGGAAACCTGGCTCCTGTAAGAAATACAGGGTGAAACATGCCCTTCCATCATGCCACTTCCAATTCATGTAATGAATTTTGCTGTGCAGAGCTTGAAAGGGAGGGCAGGGCAGAGATACAGGAACTCCCCAGTAGCACCTGGCTGCTGCATTTCTGGGCAGCTTCTGCATAAGCAGGGCTGAGGCCTGTGGCTGCCCTGGGTATAACTAATTCTTCATTCGCCCCACCAGGTCTCCAAACCACTCTGCAAATGACCTCTTTTCCAAGGCCAGGCATTTTCACTTCATCACTATCCACAGCTGCTTTGAAACAGCAGATTGTCACAAGAACTATATGCATCATTATGTTGTCAAAGCAATATGATGTTTGCTTAGATATAAGTAATTAGGCAATACCCACTTACCTCAACAATTTCTAGCAGCTCGGGTTTATCTATGCAACCATTCCCATCCTTGTCATATACTTTGAACGTCCACCTCAGCTTATGCTCCAGTTTTCCTCGTAAAACAAGATTCAAAGCAGCCACGTATTCCAGAAAGTCAATGGTGTTATCCTGTAGGAAAAGGAGAGACAGTCTGAATGGCTCTTAACCACATATAGTTAACAGAAAACTGCTTATGAAAGAGGGATGGGTAAGCTGCCAAAAGAATACTCTGGGGTACAGCTGTTTATTTCCCACCTTACAAAAGAGTTGTGCAGTTCCCACACTATTTGTAAGTACAGCCATACCCCTCTGTCCCCCCGAGGATGAGTTCCTGAGAAGCATGAGAACGGATAATAAGCAATTTCTGCCGTACTGCAGTAAAAAAAGGGGGACACCTGCCAGGACTCCAGAAATACAAGCAATTTAAATACACTGGGACAATACAGATTACATGACTGATGGAGAGGCAGTAAAGGATCATTGACTGCAGGAGATGCTGGCTTTTTTGGAAGCACTCTAAGAGACTTTAGCTGCTTCACCTGTGAGACTAACACCCAAACACTGCCTCTTTCTTCTGTCCTTCACCCTTGATTGATCTCGATTCATCTGAGGAAGATGGTGACAACAATGAAAATGTAACTGTTCAGAAGGAGGCAGCAAGAACACTTGCATTAAGAGTTTTATGTCAACTGTTCAGCCTCCTAAAAACTTTTTTTAAAAGGCTTTAAAAGATTCATGGTTCCTTTGGCAACCTCCAGCAGATGGCCCTCATGCAGCTCAGCACCATTCCCAAAGGCCAGGCACACAACAGTGCAAGCCAGCTTCGAGCAGTCCCAACCTCCTTAGCAAAATTGCACGTCTTCCACAGGCTGCTCTGTGGTGGGCACTTAAATGATTTGTAATACTTGTGAGCAAAAATTGTTGTTACTGAACTTAGAAGACTGACCAGTAAACAAAATAGACAATTTAGGATTTGTTTTGATAACCTTACCTTAGTATTAATAATCCTTCAGATGATTAGGCCCTGAAAATTGATTGTTAGGCCCAATGTAACTGATCATCTACCACAGGCCTATTTAGCAAGTACAGAAACTTAGGTCTAATTTAATGCACTTAATTTTAGCATATATGCAAGTACCATGTCCCTATTAAAAAAAAGGGGGGGGGTGTCAGTCATTAGGGAGACTCCTTCAAGCTAAGAATGGGACTGCCTCCTTTAACACACTGCTTATTGCCACTAGAAAAACTATGTGACCTGCACTGCCGAACATATTTTGCCTGGCTACGGCAGGCCATAGAAACCAGTGCATTTCTGCAGGAATCCCTTTCTGCATGGATTTTATTCTGCAGTTTGGATCTATGCGTTTTGCAGGAACTTGGGTTTTGCCCGCTTCAAATTGAGACTAGTTTGATCTGCCGACATCTTCTGTAGTTTTTGCCCTCATCCTTTCTCACAAACAGACTTCCACTACCACCACGGTGCAATTTTGCCACTGGTTTCACGGGAAGCTTAATGGGAACTGTTATATCTAATACAACCAAAATCCAGTACTTGTTTCTTCTGTTCCTGTGTGGATAGACAAACTACTCCATACTTCAAATACGATCAAGAACTTCAGAAAAATCTAACAGAGTCTGGTAAACATCCCTTACCCATTTCAGTAGGGGAAAGACAACTGCCTTATGTTTATTTGAGTATCTGAAATATTATGAGCTAGTATTACATTAGCATTTGCACCAACACTTGAGTAAGTATAAACTGCTACTAAACCAAGAAGCTCACCTTTCCCAGGCGTCTATGACGACAAATACAGCTAAGAGAATCAAGACCAAAACATCTGCTGTTCAGCATTCCTTAGCTTCTGAGTAGCTAAAATCAGTATTTTGTTACATGCTACCCATTTCTAATGTACATATACACTTCCTCCATTGTATATCAAGCCCAAGTAGGACTTTCCTCCACTGTAATTTCTTCTATATCATAACAGTTAAAGATTTTTCCAGTTAGCAGCCTTTGCTATTTGAGGATCTTTCAGCAATACTGTCTCAAAAGTGTGGCTGCATAAGTTTAAACCTTTTAATCCATCCTTAGGCACTTGAAGAAGGACATTCTGTCCTTAATTCGTATACAGATTTATGAGGTGATAAATCCACACCATACTGCAAGGACCGGCGCAGTGTACGCTTCTTATGTAAGGAAGGAAACCGCAACACAGTGTAGGATCCCACCAGCCTCACAACTGTATTCCCCTCTGTTCACTTCCAGGTGCATTTTGAACCTAAATAAAGAGCACACTTTCATTTAGCTCTTGCGTTACAAGAAGGGATGGAACTGCAATCCAGCCCTGACAGATCCCTTGCCTTCATCTCATTAAACATAAGATTGGGAACTGCCTCAAAACATCTCCAAATTGCAGAAGGAAGAGAGTACTGATTATTGGCCAAATCACTGCAATAGTTGCTTGGCACTTACCCCGTTCTTATCAAAAGCTCTGAACATGTTTTCAATATACTCTGCAGCTTCACGGTTATCCTGGACTCCAAAGAAGCGCTTGAATTCATGCATGAAAAGGGTCCCACTGGGACATTCCACCACAAATTTCTTATACCATTCCTGCAGTTCCGCAACATCAATTTCTGCTTGTTCCCCTTCTGCATTGGTGAACTGCTGTCCCATTTTGTTCCGTAAAGCAGAAGAGAAAGAAGAAAGGAAAAGGAACAAAGAAGAAAATTCAAAGTCCTTTGCTGGTATTGTCCCTTTATCGTCTTTAGTTGCTTTCTCTTTGTTCTTTTTCTTCCTGCAGCTTCTCACCTTTGTTTCTCTGAGGTTGATGTTGTGTCTTGCTATTTTGCTTTATTTTTCAGCTTTTACTTTATCCTTCTTCCTTCTCTCCTACAGGCTCTACTCACCTCTACAGTTTTGTAAGCTCACTTGGTGATCCTCGAGTGCTTTCCTTTGTTAAGGCAGTGCAACATGTGGTATCAGACTGGCATAAAAATAACTAAGATCATTAGGAGATTCCCACCTATTAGTCACAGAGACCTTCGGATGTTCTGAGCTGCACCCTATTTAGAAACAGACTCTATGGAGACTCAGGGTGTTTCTACATGTCTACACCTTCATGTCAAAGGATTGGGGAGCTGAGATTCCCTTTACGTGACCTATAACCTCACTCACTTGACCTGAGCTTTTTCTAGAAAACAAAGTGATCTTAACTGAACTCTTAGACATTAGTTTCCAAATCTTGGTATATGCTAGCAGTTTGTTCAGGCACTGCCATTTTTCTGTGAAAGAAGGCATATCAATAAGTAACTTTTACTGAGAGAGAATTCTGATAAAACATTCATATATGACTAACTCTACTCACAGGATAAAACTCCTGATAGTGTTAACAGGAGCACTAATACATCAAGCTAACTGAACACATGCTGGCTGCTTTACACTATACAAAATAATTTAGCAAAACAGTAAATGCACATAATTATGTGCATATATCTCCTAATTTTGCAATTCACTTTTTAAAATCTCAATTAAAGTTTTGTAAAAGTCTTCTATTTCTCTATAAATAAAGATTTTTTAAATATTGACACTTCTTCCCTTCCCTATTTTGTACTTTTATCTCTTTGAAATACTTCTTACACTCATCTTACTCTTTTGTAAAACAACTGCTTTTAAGAAAGAAAGGAAAAAAATTTATTCCTTACCACTTAACATTATTTGCAGCTTTTATTCTAGATACTAACTATAGTTTTAACTTAAGCCTCTTCCATCAGTTTATCAAAGAATCTTGCTACTAGGCTGCTTACAACCACATACTGCCAAAAATCATGCTATTACTCCTAGAAGCATTCTACTACTTCTTTTTACTTCTTAATGGAGCCACCAACCTTTATACATATTGTGCCAGCTGTTCTGAATCTAACCGTCTTTCTGTGTCAGCTGGAAAGAAATGACCTGTAGCTATAAATGTGCTTGAGCCATCCTGACTTGCAGATAGGATTCTTCCTGTAAGAAGATTGGAGCAGTATTAATAGGAAAGAGTAGACTCTCCATTATAATAACACTCAGGGCTATAAGGATTTAAATTGCTCCTTTTAGAAACAGATTGGTTTGGAAAGAAGAACTTACAACATAGAAAAACATAGGTCAAGAATCAGCCTAGTATTTGCTACTGCAGAAATATCTCATTTCTGCAATAAGAACAGGGCTTATGCTGAGTCTACTTGTGCGTGTGAGTAACTGTTCAGTGGTGTTGCATATATATACAGACTGGCAGAAGCATAGTCTGACCTTGCACTTCCATAGCTCATCGCATGTGAGGGTGCCCAAACAATACAGGGATTCACTGAAGAGCCTCCAACAGGAAGAGAACATGGGCTAAAACTACTAGAAAGAAATCTGGAAGTCATAGTCACTGTGATGTGTATATATATAAACTACTTGTGTTGCATTTTCTATTTCCCTATTATCATTCAGTATTTCAGTACCTATGTACAATCCCTAGGCTCTTTATGTGTATCATACAAAGTAGCAGCTTTTCCCCTCCTCTACTGATACATTTCTTGATTGATCTTGGCTAATATCTGAAAGGGCATGGGTTCTATATTTGAGTTGCTAAGATAGTTTTTTGGGAAAATAGAGGTGGGTTTTTTTTTTTACTGCAAAAAAAAAAGGGGGGGAATTTCACACACATCCATGTGAAGCTCTCCACCATTTCGTGCTGCTCTCCTGTGCAGAGCTGCCTGCTGGAATGTGAGTGCTGTGAGCGCAAGACTCCACATGCCCAGGACATTATGTTGCCTCATTGCATAATTTTGTTTTGCCTTATGGGAACTTAGTGATCTGCTCCCAGGAGAGAAAATGGTTCCCCTTTGTTTTGATTACTAGGATCTTTTCCAGCTAGGAACAAAGGACTGAAAGAGATCATCTGGGTTACGAAGTTGGATCTGTGCTATTGTAGGTATTGTGACATACAATCCCTTTAATAAACGTAGTGATGTTTATTTGGCACTGAAGCAAATTAAACTCATAGCTCCTGGTATGGAAATTCCTCTGCATACAAGTCTCACTGTCCAGAAAACATGATCTGCAAACTGTGTACTGACAGAGCTGTTTTTCCAGTCATTAGAATGTCATTTTATGGAGCACGGTTTATCAGCTGAAGGATTTCTCCATACGATTTGAAAAACATGCAGGTAGAGGTAAATAGAGATAACGAATAAGAGTAAAAATGAAAATAATAATTTCTAGAAAATGCTATAATAAAGAAGTTGGTGCTCTTTGGCTATCTGAAAGTTTAGGATCAACGCTGTATAAAATTACACAGACTAGAGAAATATTATGCCAGAATGAAAACTTTGGATGATGGAGTTGCAAACAGGTAACATCTGATTACATCTCCTGCTGTATGAGCTATCCCTAGATTATCACCAACACAGTTCAGAAGCTGCAGAGTTTCCCAGCTGAGAGCATGGAAAACTAGACAGCTCATTTCCCGTCAGTTCACTAACAAAACATGCTGCCACATGCTTTAGCAAAGGCTAGTAGAAATTCAAGAAAAAAAACCTGCAGAGGGATGAGAAGACTCATTTGTTTGGCATCTGTGTGACAGCCTCAGCTGCCTCTGCTGCACGGTAATCAAGGCAGGGTGCTGCAGCAGGCGCAGCTGCCCTGCTTGAGAGCCCCAAAATGAACGAAAGTGGAGGGGGAAGACCAGGTCCTTAGGGTGCAATCGAGTGGCCACCCTTAGTCACCTTGCTGCCTTGTTCCATTACTTCAAACAAATAGGCCGTTGTCTGCATTGAGACTGCTTTGGGTGGGTTGGGCAGTCTAAAGTGTCCTTTGAGCAGGCCTAGAAAGAGAAGAAACTCTGCAGCAGACAGACCAGGGTGTGTAGCTAAGGGTGCCTGTCAGCGTCTGCTTTCCAAGGTATACTGAGTCCGCTGTACCACACTGCAAATGAAAGCAGGTCTGAAACTTCCTTAAATTTACCAGATGCCAGGCAGGACAGACATGTGGATATGAGGAATGCAAAGAGGATGTATTGCAATTTTTGTGCTGACCCATTTCCTTACCTGCCTGAAGAGGGGAAGGGAGCAACACCCTTTCTCCTGGAGGTTTACCTGCTCTCTTCCTGTTTGCACATGCCTCCTCTTCTTCCTATAAAAAAATTACCCATTATTAGGCTCTCAAGGTAGAGGAAACTCATCAGAAAATATCTTACTCAGTGAAGTTCAGTGGCACTGGCAAACACTTCATGCTAGTTTGAAGGACTGAAAAAAGGACCTAGAAAAGATTTAGAATAGATCAAAGATCCTTAATATTTTGTCTGGGGAGTTCAGCCCAATGTTTTTCTACCCATCTCTTGTCAATTCATCACCAAGTTAGCCAAACGTTGCACACTTTTATGTGTTGGGAATAACCACGTGGTATTGGATATTATTGCAAGAGCTGCTCTCCCTAATTTCGTATACTGAAAAATGATCAGGTAGAGCTAACCAAACAAATCTTAAAAAGTACCAGCGCAGCGCTATCCTACCATGAAAAATGCTACCCTTTGAGCCTTGCCTATTGTCTTTTATTTCTAGAGAGATCCCATCACATGCTAATAAACTGTTACTACATGTCACCTCACAGCAGCTATGTTCCAACAGCAAATGAAGTCTGAAATATTTCTCCCGTGCTTTGGCATCTTACAAGACAAATGCCTCTATAAAACTGCAAAATTACACTTTTTCAGTGCATGTTTCAAAACTTTGCATAATCCCAAAACCTCGGCAGAGAATTAA